ATTAGTTTTCAGCTGCTCTTATACATCATTTAAGTAAAATCTCAGGAAGATCAATAGTTTTGTAGTTCGAATTTTAGTGACGTCATGTGAAAACCGGCTATATATTTTATTTGCAGGCGATACAAATTTATTCTTCCACGACATAAACCTTAATCAATGCTAGAAATAGCAATCAGGAGATCACCAAAGTATCACAGTTGTTCAGCTTTCAACAAACTAACGCTGAATGCCAGTAAAGCACATTTTAAGATATTTAAAACTAGAAGGAAAAAAATAACATGCCAGTGACAGTCACAATCAACAACAACAACAACAACAACAAATTGAGCAGGTTAAATGGACAAAATTTCTTGGAATTAGAATTGATGATCAAATGACATGGAAGACTCATATCAATTACATAACTAATAAGATATCAAAGTTATCGGGTATCGTAGCGAAATTGCGACATTACGTGGACATCATAACAGATTAAAAATATCCAAGTAAAAAAATTTGTTTTAAAATTACCTAGTTAAAAAAATATTACCTAGGTAAAAATCAAATTTACCTGAAGAAAAAAATTACCTACAACATATATATTTCGCCTTACTTGCTGGGATCTCCTGCCAATAAAATCAATACCATGTAATTACGAGAACTGTAAAAGCAATGAGGCAAACAATAAAATTGTATGCAGACGTATTTCCGGCTGTCACTTGGCCGGAAATACCTCCGCGTTAGCAGGCTATACAGCAACTATTGGAGCCTGGAACGAGACACCCTGTCTCTGGCAAAAGGGAAAATTTGTGCTGACGAGAACAAAATGGAGGCACTTGCTACGTTTGGAAGGTTTGCGACGTTAGTTGGGCAAAATATTCTCTTCACCTTGTTGTTTGATGATCATATCTAAAGCTGCCAGGTATGTGTACTAACAGTAACTACTTGTGTATAGTTTAACGCAGAAAGTATGCTCTCGTCTGTGTTGCAAAGGAAGTCTAATAACTTCCGCCTTGAGGCGAATTTTGGCAATTACTGTTCGCTTCAAATTCTCTTGCCTTGGCCTCGTCAAGTCCATCATTTTTGCCTTTAAATTATTAATTATGTTGGGTGTCTTGATAGAATGTTTGGATGAAATTATCCTGTTATTTCTCTTGGTCGATGGCGGTATAACGTATTTAATCTGTGGTTTCACTTCGAGTTTCTAGCCGAGTGTCTGTGAGGTTTTTGTCATGATCAATCCTTGGTATCAACTTTTTCCTTCACTGCTTTCTATATGGAAGCTACAGTTGACGCATTTTTATCTGTACCAACACTTCCTGTTCCTTCATTTTGAAGAGAGGAAGACGACAAGTGAATAACCCAAAATGTAAAGAACAAGGGTGATGGGGAGTCGTTCATAGCGCTAGCTGTTACAATTAAAATCTCGATGACTGAATGATAATAAGTGATTACTGAACGAGGTTGAGCAAAATAGCGTGATTTGTCGGTGGAGAGCAGATCAATTATTCGGCTGAGGCAAATAATTGATCTGTGAGACACTGAGAAACTCATGATATATTGGGCCGTCGATAAAACCTGGAACATGGAACATTCAGGAACATCCCGAAACTTTCTAGAACATCCCGGAACATCGAATGATTATCATAATTACACGAAAAATATATCAAATAAAATTTTAAAAAAGTAAATCAAACAAAAATAAACTGGTGTCAGCTTGGAAAATAGAAACAAAACAAAAACATAAAAAAAGGAAAAAAGAAAATTTAAAGAAAAATGAAAGTGACTGCAATGAGTGAAGGCTAGCAACTAAGAAGAGTAATCCATTCCCTCCAGTCGTTCATCATCAGTTTAATCACGTGACTGTCCTTTATTCCCAGATTTCGTTCTTCACAGAAAACTAACTAAAGGTGGTGGCTTTCGAACTCCTTAAGGTTACTTCCCACCTTCGCGGGTACCCTTCAGGAAAAAATTTGTACATGCTCCAGTTTCAGTAAAACCGAAAACTGTATATCAGTAGAAAGCTTGATGAATGTGGTTTTTGAGAAAAATATAATTTAAGTGACTTTTTCTTTTGGGAAGTGTCAGCAGCTGGTAAACCGTGAAA